ATTATGTGTATTCTGTTCTTCTTAATTGTGTACACGCATATTCATTTATTGCTTACTTTGTATATATGTATGTATACTCATACATATATTTATATATATATATATATATATGCCACATATATTTACTTATCTATCTATATCTATATATATATATACATATTTATATATGTATATGTATATGTATCCCATGAGCGTTCCATATTATAGCCTATATGTGTGTTCAAGCGATGTGGCGCTTGTGCTCTGTTTGTCTATATTGTATATTCTGGAAATTGTATTTCAGCAATTATACGTATTGAAATTTGTGGCTATTTCGTGCTTTATTTGCCAATTCGTTTGCAATACCAAGTTTTTGTCTATCCAGCACATCGTACTATCATGTATTTCTGCAAGTCAAGATTTGTAGGTTACCTACCACTTAAATGGAAGATTACGTATGAATCACTTCTGGTGGAATAACTTCCTGGCTTTATAACATCTAAAATGCAATGAATAAACCCTCTGTTTTTTTCAATATTAGGGTTGGATGTCAAGTCCGTTGCTAAGGACCCGAAGAATTTTCAGAAACTGTTGGATAAGCCAGCCAGCACCCCTCAATCCAATCTAGCGCAAGATGTCTCATACATGTGGCGCAACCTATCCATCCCAGGTATGTGCTTATGTGTATGTGTTTTTTTGTTATGCGCCTGTTTTGAGTACTCACAGCTGCATGCCTGCTCCACTCATCGGCAGTCTACTGATTCTGAATGACCATTGGATTGTTCATAGCTCGGTGGGTCGATTTCCTGCCCTCGTCATTCAGCGTGTGTTTTATTCGTCACTCATATTCCGGTTCTTTTCTGCCTATGTTATGTGCGCTTTAGTGATCGCTAGTCTTCACGGCATGTGCTTTGGTGGAGGGTTCCAGATTGCTCTCGGAGCTGATTTTCGTTTCGCCACGCCCGATACAAAACTGTCTATCATGGTATGTTATCAACACAATATCCCTTTCCATGACTCAGTTGGACATGGTGTTTATAATAATATGCTATCAACACACAGTCTTTGTCCAAGTCCTGTGCCTGGTTTGTGTTTATAATAATATGCTATCAACACACAGTCTTTTTCCAAGTCTTGGACCTGGCTTTTTTCTGTGGCGTGCGGAGTTGTGCAGAAATGCCAACACCGGCAAATAATATTCTACTTGGGTTCTTTACGTACTTGTACGTTTGAGATATGAAGATACCTTTACAGACCAAAGCACATTCACACGGTGCTATGCACAGGTATGCATGCATCTAATTGACACGGCATACGCACTTGCTTCCGCTATGAAAACTCTATGCTCTCTGACCCGCTAATAAATCGCTAGGAATATCTCATCATCCGGCCTTTGTCCAAAACTTGCGCGAGCAGTGCTAGTGAAATGATCCACAGAAGAGTTTTGATTACGTCCTGTCCAGTTAGAAGTTCAATTTCGCCTCATACCACGTGTCCTGACACAACACTTATATATTCTATCCGACACCCCTTTCCACCAATAGGAGGCCAAATGGGGCCTAATCCCTGATATGGGTATCACTGTGCCCGCGCGTGAACTGATGCGCGCAGACGTACTCAAAGAGCTCACCATGACGGCGCGCATATTCTCTGCCACTGAGGGTGTGCAGTACGGCTGTGTCACACGCACATGCGCAGACCCAACAGCCGAAGCAGTGAAGCTGGCCGAGGAGATCATAGAGAAGTCGCCGGATATGATAGCCAGCGCGAAGGACCTGTTCAACCAGACACACGCCCAGGGAACGGAAAAGATGGCGCTGGACTTAGAGACCGAGTATGAGCGATAGTGTGGGCGTGAATGTGCGTGTGTATGGTATTTTTGAATGGGTTTCTACGTGCGAAGGTATTGGGAGTGGGATATCAAACATGTGCGGATATACATTTATTGTGAGTTCTCGGGTGTCTGGAGTGGATCTCGCTTCGAGTATTGGCAAGCGTTTCAAGAGTTGCTGTGTGCCTATCTGTACACCCCATTTGGTAATAGATGATAGCTGTGCGTTGTGCTCATTGATGTTAGCCTTTGCGTGTGCTCATTATGTTGTGTTTTTATTTATACACTGCAAAGGCTACAGAAGAAGATAATGGCTGAGATGGCCAAGACGGGAGGCTTTTTGCAACCACCTAAATAGATGTGTGTACAGGTACGTATACGTCATGTATTGTACCTGCGTGCACGCATTTAGATGTTGTGCGTACAAGCTGGCGTGCAGTATATTCTTGTACCTCTGTACATGCGTGTGTAAGCCTTGGCGTTCATTTTTAAGGCATATTGCTTTATAGCGCTTTGATTTAGTCTGTACCCACACTTAACCAATCAGTCGACCGCACAAACCCTAATACTTCTCGGTCTCTCCGTCCACAGTTTACAGAAGGGGCTTGTGCTCAGCTACAATCAGTTTGTCACGGTGTTCAGACAAGTGACCAAGACTAAACTGCCGTACGCAAAGGGGAAGCGATCGGATATTGCGGTCACGAAAGAATAAACCAACGTTTCATAACGTGCTCAATTTAAAGTAGTGATTGCAGAATAAACTGACGTTTGATTAGATGATAACTAATACTTGAAAGTCGTAGCTGACATCACACAGTCCCTTGGAGTTTGTCATTAAGACCGACTATAATTTTTCATGAGTATGCTTCGGGGGTATGTGTCTCACGATGTTGATGAGTTTCATACGTGTTCTGTGATTTGAACTGCATCTTTTCGCGTGTGTATGCGTGTATCTATGTCGGTGCCAGTACATGTCCGATGAAGTATATATATCTATATCTATATACATGTATATATATATTTATATTTATATATATATATATATACATATTCAAGAACGTTTACTAGCGGGCTTCATTTCTCATCGCCTTGCTTTACAATGTATTCCACAATAGACTTAAACCACCCATCAGGTTCTCTGACGTACAAATGTATATACATGCAACAAGCGTATAGAATACCTATAGGTTTGGTCTGGTCGAAAGTTCAGTTTAAATATATATATATACAAACCACATCGCCAACTACACATCCAGTCTTCAACAGATATTACTGATATGCACATATAGCCCGAAGCCGTAAGAACGACAGCACCTTATGCCCATGGCCATACAACCTAGGCCACCATCTAGACACTCGGTTGTAAAAAACGCTCTCGTCGAGTCGCCACACAAGTCTGCATCCAGTTGGCACAGTTTCACATTTCCTGCTGACGATCCGGTCGTACATCGAGGTGCATTGGGAACGTCCGGTGTTGTGTCATCTACATGTGGTTGCATATCTGTTGGATTGCTTGGCGCGTCAGATGGGCACGGAGAGTTTATGTCTGTATACTCACCAAATCCATAGTATCGACAGCACGTCTTGCCTACTGCTGAACATCCAAGACCGTCTCCTGCGCACTCGGTTGTAAAGTATGTGTGCGATCCATCTCCGCATACTATAGGCGCATGACCGAAAACTGCTACCACCTACTCGGAGGTTGATGTAGGAACACACTCTATGGGCAGTGGTGTGTTCGGATCTTCAGCTGTATCTACTTGTACTCAGTATACAGAGTTTTCGGTTGTCACCCTCATACACGACGGCTGCATTTCTAGTGCATGGCATGTTACATTCACTGTCTGAGCTCTCTCCGTACGGGGGCTGTACTGTCGCAGAAACAATCCCGCGAGTACTGCACACTGAAGTAGAACGATGCGGAACTATTACCTGGCACTCCAGTGCACATTGTGGTCTTGCATAGTTCCGGCGTCATGTTGGCCAATCCGCCAGCCCAGTACGCCAAATCGCGAACTGGGTCAGGCCAAGCATCCCTGAAGTATCCGATATAGTGCGCATTCGGTATGGTCTGGATGACGAGTGATGGGCCTGTAGGTGGGTCTGTACCCACTATAGGCCGCTCTATATCACATGGCGCTTGGTTCGCCGCATACACCTCGAATCAGAAGAATCTGTAGCACTTGTGTCCCAATGCACTACAACCTAGACCGCCACTCAGACAATCGCTGGAGAGGTATGTTTGGGATGCCGAACTACAGGCGCTCTGATCGTGTTCACACACGGCGATATTCTCGTTTGACGCGTCAACGACGGCGCAATCTGAATCTAGGGTTTTAGGGTTTTAGTTAACATACAATACAAAACGTACTTCCATGGGCAATAAATAAATGCAATGATCAACTATTAAAAAAAAATGAGTTTTGGACCAAAGTAGCACATCATACTCGTCGATCAAAGTATATACCGGTGCGATCGGGGATCCATCACTAACTCCATATCGTATATAGGCCTTGCTGCTATGAATGAATTCGAAATTAACATCTTCCAAAGCGTAGCCGATAACACATCTTAACCCATATACGCCTTCGTTGTTGAAGCAATGCCACAATGTTGGGGAGAGCAAAGCACTCTGCATCCGACATTTCCGCCATAGAATCTGTCGAGTAGCAATCAACGAATATCGTTAGAAAAGATGTTACCTCTAAAAAGGACAATCTTGAAGATGAGCGCGGAATCCAATCCGAATAACTGTTACAATCAAAAATGATACATACCCAATATTCTTCATTCGGAATACTATGGGTCTTCCTGGTAATATGGTTTGCAGGAGCCCGAATGGATCTTATGGAACGTTGAGAAACTTTGAGTCTCTGTGTAGACGTTGCAGTTGGTTAATAAGGGCTTTACAAAGTTGTTGCTCGCACAAGATGCACACTGTTTTGACGCGCAATGGGTGCAGTCAAGGTGCCCGAAAATCGCGACATTGATACGGCAATCACGAACCATCCGACAAACATTGTGCTACACCGTATGTGGTAGGATATGCCATCGGCAAAGTTTTTCGACCTTTTCTAATACATACCGTGCAGGTTTAATATTGATCGAGGTATAACTTATGTAACTGATATCATCTATATCGTACTGCCCAACGAAAAGGTTATGACAGTCCGACTGTACAGAAAGAAAGAGTATCAGGTTGTTGTATAAAAGAGCGCGGAACACCGACCTATTCATTATCGTTGTTGACGGGAATTCTGCACTCCATAAGAAAACACGTTCGGTGAGATTGCACTTGCGTACTTGGTTCAGCACAACATTGACCAGTATGACTCCCTTATCTTTGCCCTCCGAAGTAAACTCGGCAAATGTTGACCAATCCACACACAACATATCCTAATGAATCACGGATCACATTCACACAGGACGGGACTGTTAATAGAAGGAATGTGTGTTGGTTTTGTAAATGACCTACAAATAAAAGTAAATGTTGTCCATAATGAAAATCAGACAGGTGAAACCGATCGATCTAATATTAAAGTGATATACGTCTTACTTACCTCGGCGACTGCTTGTCGAGGCACGTACCGAATATATTGCAGTCGTGGAACACATTGTTCTGATGATCCAAACCGTGTGTATTGAGCGCTGCAAGGATGAGATTGAAACAACATATGATGTCAATGTTAAAAAAACACACGTCCTGTTGCACTATGCCCAACTAATATGAATAAAATGTTCAATGTCGTAGGCTCACCAGATTTCACCAAGAGCCGCACCTCTCGTCCCCTACCCTGTGCTGATCCTGGTGACCATAGTCCGTGTTCGTGTCCAGCTACTCGGTTTCCCACAATATCATTTATCATACCGAACAGGAATATGCCGCCTTCTTGGGCAACGAGCCTTGCCAGCTTATTCGACACTTGTCTAGCTTGGAGCAAATAATATTCGTTGCCAACCTCAGTATAAATACAAACCCCTGACTATCCCAAAGTATATCCTGGGAAACGAGCGCTTGGTGCGTACCGTGGATCGTGATGGCGGCCTGCAATCAGTGTAAGGCCAACCACGCTCAATTTTGTCAGTAAAAATGAATATGGTCAGGGTTCTGGCTACGAAAAAGGTACGTTGATGTGTAATATATAAATTGTACCAATTGACTGTCCCTCCTTTGGAGATAAAAAGGGTGTGAACCTGGATCTTAACTAAATCTCGCACTCACTCCACCACTTTAATACCTGAAGAGAGTCCACAATTGAATTTCCGATAAATTTGTAGGTGGTGCACTTTTGCATTCGATGGAGAAGTAGACAAACACTGCACCGAAATCAAATGTCATGGATTAAGAAACCTGTCTGAGGGTGTACCAAAATTAATCTTTGGTTGCGCCTATCCCAGACTATTATCAAGTTGGTGATACTATATTGAACTATCGAAATACAAACGATTATACAATTATACCTGCCAATACGACCGTATATCGTGTATCGTATATATATATTGCCAATTGCATACTCCACACTATTGTCCGCTGGTTTCAATAATATGTATAGACCAATTTCAGACAAGTGGGAAGCTGCGTGCTCACCAGTGATCGTTATTGATCTCTCCAGGTTCACAACCTCAGCCCCGGTTTTGATCTCTAACCTTCCTACGATCCGTTTACCGCCAAGGTGCATACTTGCGAACGGTGAGTCAATAACAATGACATCATTCTTGCGTACTTTCATTTTGAAAGGTGGTAGCAATCCCTATGGTATCATCCAAACGCCACCCCATGGATAACGGGTGTTGGCTGGTAGCCAAATGGGTTGAGGCGATATGCGCTATGGTAGATAGAGTAGTCCATGGGCGGACTAAATGGACGCCCAAATATATTTATAGTCGTGCTTCCCTTCTCGACAATACATCGCTCACCTCCTTCAGCGTCCTGCTGCAACCATTCTAGAGCCTTCTTCAAATACACAGTTGTTTTTAGAAACATTGGGGTGACTTGTGACCCAATTTGAAAAGTTCCGTTATCCACTAGGATATAATATGCCGACAATATCAAACTTGATCGGGAAGTGTTCCATAACAAAGCTCCACGCACTGCTAAACGGTCGACATCCATGCTCAAATCCATGAGCCAAGTTTTGCCGTCGGGTATCACGCACAGTGCAGATACTTGCTGGCATCGCGATGATACCAACAGTGACCAGCTACAGTTTGTTGTCGAGCTCAATGAGTATTCACCAAGTAACAAGTAGTATATAATGATAGTCATCGAAAAATATTTTATTTGACAGCCTATCTTGCAGTTTGTCCAAAAGCAGTTGTGCAGGCTGATAAGGCACGCGTTGCGATAATATACTCTTGCGTTGGCTCACCAAGCAGCAAAATATCGGATATAAACTCGTTATCGGTATTAGCATGTGCTTGTGTGCTACTGTACTACCAAAGACGAACTGAGTTTCACGGCGCGACTGCTTCTGGCTGCTGAGATATTTGATTTATAAGCGGCTGTCCGAGAAAGTATGACTGTGAGATACAAATAGACGCCGACAGCGTTGCTTCAAAGTTCTTGGCATTGCTCAATGCAGCTCATACATCCCAATGGATAAAATAGGGCCACAATTTGTTCGAGTGTACTTGTACGTAGCATCCAGTCCACTCCCATTGCGAACAGTAAAAAATACTCAAGCAATTAATATTTGTTTGTTCAAAGTGTACATATTTACATTCTGCGGCAAAAACAAAAATCTGATCTATATATTTTTTTAAAACAATATGTATTTACTCCATTCGGAATTTTTTGGGTATTTTTTAAAATAAAACGAACTTTTTAGAAGAAGGTCAAATATTTACACTTTTACAGGGTGTGTTCCAGTCCTGAGGGGGTGTTTAAAAACATGTTATTACATGAGTCATGACTCTCTCAACGTTTTCAGTTTTCAGTTTTGAGTGTTCTCTGTTCTGTTCAACTTCTGTCTGCCATTATGCCAGTCTGGACTCTGGCTCTGGCAGTCCGGTGGCTGGCCCGGCAGCTGATGCATCAACGTGCAGTCGATCTCGTAGAAGGTATTTACAATCATAAATACATACATATCATGTAGAGAAACCCCATTTGTTCCCGTGTCGCTCAAGAAACTACGCACAAATGAAAGCCCCAGTCACTTTCAAAGCACAGCCTACCCAACGAACCTCGCCTGTTGCCCATAGGCTCTCCACGTACAAGCTTCAGCATGAAGGTTCCCAGCACATCAGATAACGAATTCATCCACTCCTACAACTATTGGAAAAAGATAGCAATGACTTGAGGCAAGCCGCATATACTAGGATGGTAAAGATTACCTTTCGTTATTCGCATACAAATATTATGAGAAAAAAATACCAAACATCGAGAGACTATACATACATGCATGTATGAATATAAGTATGTAATATGTATAAATACATTTATGAATTTATGCACATATGTATATATGTATAGACGATAAAATTATATGTATACATATATATACACACACACACAACACACACACTCATATATATATATATATATATATATATATATAAATGTATGTACACTCACACGCAGATATACAT